GGAGGGACAGAGCTAACACACTACGTACCTTCCCCAGTCTGCCACTGACTGAGAAGGACGGAGCAGAAAGGAAGAGTAACCAATGCTCAGCACTTCTCTGAATTGTCAAGTAATGACATTCCATGTCTGCTGAGCATACAACTTCCCTCCTTAAAACAGCAAGGTGATTTACATCAACTGAGTCCCTGATCAAGTTTTTTAGTAAATACAAAACCAGAAACTCCATATTGTAAGAGATAGACATATAGATCAATTTATATGAACACATTTTGTCTCTTTCTTTTCCTATAGGAAGGTCTTGGTAGTTTCTGTTTCATCATTTTCCTGACATACTGTTTGTCCATGGCTATCTTTGTCTTCCTGGTGATGCCAGAGACCAAAGGAAAGACCATGCTGCAGGTCATGGAGGAGTTCAGTCGCCTGAACTACCGTGGAAAGAAGAGACAGACAGCCCTACAGCAGAGTAACTGCTCAGTGATGACTGTTACTAGACTTTAATAACAAACTCTCCAATCCATATTTTTGCTCTTTTATTACTGTAGTGCCCAGAAGCCTCACTAAGCAAGAGAGAATCCATTGCTCCACAAACAGCACAAATGTGTATTTTAAAAAGAATCACCTGCAGTGCAAGGTGACGGATGAACTTGATGGTTTTCTCCAACTGCTGAAATATGAGCTGAGTTAAATCTTTTGCAGAAAAAAATTAAAGAGTGCATAAAGAAATAAGATATTGCAGGAAGTGAGTGTGGAAGGTTCAGATGTACAGCATACCTGTGAAACTGAGAGAGAAAGAAGTCAGAGCTTTCATATTGAAATTATCTGCTCCTCTTAACAAGTCAGTGTTGATGAGCTTTCCCAGAGAAGGAGCTTCACTCCAGATGAAATGAAGTGATAGGTCTTTAATCTGGTGGAAGAAGAGTACATTGCCTATCAGAAGACAGAATTGGTATGCAATGTTTCCCCCTCTTACAATTAGACTTGAGAGCAAGTACATGGTATAGGGGCAACTAGGACTTTCTTGAGGAGCTTATGACCATACTTCTGTGACCTGCTGCATGGTCTTCATCCTTCTTAATTTTTTTTTTTTTTTTTTTTTGGGGGGGGGGGGCAGGGGGGGAAGTCATTGCTATATCTGAAGAAAAAAGGCATAAAAGAGATATAAGGTCCTGGTGTAAAGGAGACACTATGCTAGAGAAGCATCCAAGCATAACCTGTCACCTCAAGCCAAACCTCTTGCTTGGTAATCAGGTACATTACCTAGATTTTGGAGATTCTTCTATTGGGACAAACAGGGATACATCAGCACTGAAAGAAAGCAAGAGTGAAGAAAGCAGAGCTGCAGGAAATCATGAGTGGGCTAATCCACAGTGGGCAGGTTCTTCTTCATTAACAACGACTATGTAGCATGTCTTCAGCCTGGAGTTACTTCATATCAGAGAGAAGGAACACGGGTTTCAATGGGCTTGAGTTCCCAGAAGTAACTGGTACTGATGAGACAAAAAAGAGTGGTGCCTCTCCCAGAGAACTCAATCTGTATGTCTGAGTGTTCGCTTCTCTCTCCAGGTCTCTGAATACTTCACATTTTCATTGCAAAACAGGGTAAAAAGGGCTTCACTTTTTGTATTAATTGCTATACAACGTGACACACTCTTGCTCTTCTTCATGCTGTGCAGTTTACTGATAAGGAAATAAAAAATTAGTGACTAGGAAAGCACATCCTACTGATCATGTCTGGATTTGGTTTTCATTGATTGAAGAGTGAGGGACAGAGGAGAGCCCACCTTCTGGGAGTGTGTTTTTGGGGTCAAGGAATATTGTGTCTGTCTTGTTCTGGAAATGAGATCTTCACTACTGACTGTTGCAGATGCTGCACAATAAAATTTGCAAAAGGACCTGAATATTGAGTGGCAGTTTCTTTCACGGCCCTAAGGGTCCTGCTATTTTACCTTCACACCATCCTCAAACAATATTTGTAGCAATGCCAAGAGCTAATACCAAGAGCAGTGGACTTCCCCAACACAGCCATCCTTCTTATGACAATCATCATATTACAAAAAAGCTAGACAAAATTTAGTTTCAGGGCCGGAGGTCATGGAATGCACAATACCACAGTAAGAACCAACATACATTCCTTCTTCTGATCAAAAATGCAGGGGGAAAAGGAAGAAACATTTAAAGTACTTTGAAAAGAAAGGATTATGTAAGACCTTGATTATTTTAAAAGTCTTTATTTGGTCTGGTCTTTCTCAGCCTTGATGGTTCCCACTGAGGAAGTTTTTAGTGTCTTACAAGACATTAAAACCTCATTTCCTTACACATGTCTTTCTACAGTGTGATCTCTTCCAGCATGCCTGACTTCTTCCCTTCTACTAGTAAATACTGTCTGCAAGAGGGAAAGTGGTAAATCATTAACACTGCCATAAACTAGCACAGATTGGGAATAAAGGTTAAAGAAGTACTTGTGAATCTGCAGTGCATCTATTTGATTTCCAGGATCACACAAGTGCAACACATTGTATCTTTGAAAACAAAACCCCTCCAAGCCAAGGGTATTGGATGAGCTAAGTTCTGGGTCTGGAATAAGAACATTTCTTGCAGGGTTCAAATCCTAGGTGGAAAGACTCGTCCTGTCTTCTTCTTTAGGAAAATAAATAAGAACTATACTAGGCACTTAAGTCTTGCTTTTTCCACTTCACAGCACTGAACAAAAGTGTGAGGCCAGATAGAAATGAGACAGCAGTATGAGTATTCTGGGAGAAACACAGACAACAGGAGGAACAGGGCTCTGCAGGGACTGTTTGATCAACCAGATGTTAAAATCTCACCACAGATAGAGTGTTTAAAAACCCCTCCAGAAAGATGCAGGGCTGTCATGTGTGTCCTTCCTTCCAGCAGCCAAGTCTCCCATCCTCAGCTCAAAGACCAAATCCTCCTTTCCCCTCTAGTTCATTCAGGCTCATCTGCTCCCTGCCCATGGCCCCACTCTAAGGTGCCTGAACCCTGCTGTCCAAGTCTAGCAAAATGGTTTGCTCTTAGTCTGGTAGAATCCTTTGAGAGGGAAAAGAAAAATAAAAATGGACTTGCAAAGGACAGTACAGCATGAAAAGGTCTGGAAACAGAGATATGTCATTCAAATTTGATATAGGAAGCAGAAGAATTTAAAAGGAAAGTAAAGGTAAAATGAGAGAAACAGCCAAAGTGAGGAGTAATTACTTCAAAAGTAGCTTTTAGCGTATCCTGACAGAAAGCAAGAAGTAACACTCAATTGTTCAAGTATCTTGTTGAACATTTCCACCACAGGAGTTGGGAACAACAAAAGTTTACAAGAGTTCAAAGAGGATCTCAGTAAATGCATGGAAGGAGCAAACATAAAGACACAATTCCGACTGACAAAGTCCCAGGGTTGTGCATCACTGGAGGGTAGAAGGTGCCCAGGAAAGCATCACTGCACACTTGATCAGGTCTTATGCTTTTGCCTACAACTGCTATTTGCGACTGAAAGCTTTGGGATGCTCTGCTGGACACAGTTCTGGTCTGATCCTAGAAGATAAAGTGGATGGTAGTGATAAGAGAGGACAGGGTACAGCTGGACAATCTGGCTGCAGTCTTCTCTGTAACAGCAAAATCTTTGGCTGAGGGGAGGGCAGTGGCCAGTGTTGAAGTGCCTGGAGATTGGGAGGGGGAATTTGTAAGAAGCGAGAGAAAACCTAGAGAAAGACAGGGATTTTTGTAGTAGTTATTGAAAAGAATGGTAGGTTCTGGGGTGTTTTACAAGACGAAGTGAGAACATTTGAGGAGTCTGCGCTGAGACGGGAAGGAATGAAATGCACCACCACAGCTGATGTGGGGGCAATGAAGATTTCAGGGAGAATGAAAATGGAATGGGTGGAAAGAAGAATTCAGCTTGAATTATTTCACTGTGTACTGATGTGCAACAAGACGCTCAAGCAGAGGGTTTGTTATTGGGACACTCAGCAGGAGAAAGGTCAAGACATGACTCAGCAAGCTTGCTCTGCGCTGAAGGGGACAGCCTGGGGCTGTTGTCAGTCGCTGTAATGTGGAAAGCAAACTGTAGTAGGAATGCCAGTGCTTCCACCATGCTTCTGAGCAAAGCTTCTGTTGCCTTCAGAACTGCAACCCCACCTTCCCGCCTCCCCTTTCAGCACTAACCATAGACAGTCAAATATTTGTAGTATAGAGTGAGCTATGTTGTATTCAGCGTAGTACAAAATGTTACATGTAATACATATAAACCTGAAGGAAGGAAGGATTAATTTACACTCTTTGTAAATGGTCATGTCTTTAGCTGATTCAAAATCCATTTTTTTAAGGTGAAAAGTATGTCTTAAAATCAATTCTCAGGCTAGAACAGAATGAGCATCCCACTCTGGCACATGGCAGGCCATCTCCATTGTTACAGAGAGGTAAGAGTGGGGCTTCTGAGTGGTTCTGGAAACAGCGTGACCCTCTGTAAAGAACTGATGTTAGCAAGGACCCATTATGCCAATATTCACATAGTTCATGTTCTGCAAATGGGAAATTGTTCAAATCACTTCAAGCAACTGAAAATCTTAGACCATGCAAGAAGAGGCATTACAGCTCAGCTACAGTACGAAGTGGCTTATCTCTATAGTAGACTGGAGAGGAGGAAAACACACTCTGCCTAAACTGTCAGGGAGGTGAACAGGGACTCTGCTCCCTGAAGGAAAGATGGTAGCACCGTCTGATTCCTCACACAACAGGAACACACAGTTGTTTTAGCAGTGCGAGTAAGGGGGACCGCTCCCAATATAAGAAGGAGAAACATTTACCAATGTTGTAATCAGCTTGGCATATCTGGGTCTTAGAATAATTAAACCAGCAAGAAGCATCCCCAGCCAGTGTTGGAGGAGGACACAATTCACTAAAAGCCGCAGAGTTAAAATTTAACTTCTGTGCTATGATCCCAACTTCTTATAATCTAAGCGTAGAAAACATCTCTCATCTGACAGACTTGACAAGGGGTCTCAGAGCAGGCAGGTTTTCAAGTGGAAATGGCTGGTTTCCTCTCAGACCTGGTGAGTATCCAACCTCTTGTCTTCTAGCCCTAGTCACTAACAGCTGTGTGATCTTTAAAGATTACAGCAAAGGGAATCAGTCTTTCTTGTAACAAAAATGAGCAACAGAGCATGTGCTTGGGACAACACTGATTCAGCAATAAGACTGACTACACGGCATCTCCAGAAAATATATTAGAAATACAAAAGAATGAAAGGTTTAAAAGAGGACCTGGGAAACCAGGAAAGAATAGACATTTTGAGTAAGATGGAGAAAACAGTAGCAATGAAAAAGACAAAACAGAAAAAACCCTCCCACTCTACTGCCCTGCAGTCTGAAGGATATTTGAGGATACCCATCTATTTAGAGTGTGACCTAAATGCCTGAAAACACATGTGCTTGTGAAGAGTGCTCCAAAATCCAGTGCACATCATGGAAACACAGCTTTTCAAATAGAAGTAATTCAAGTAGGAACTCTAAAAAATGCAGTTTCCTATGGGGATAATAAATGTGAAATGTAAAAAAAAAAAGTTTTAAGAGGACAGACTTGATTAATCTCTGGAAACTGATGAACAATGTCTCTGAGGAGGCAAGGTTGAAGGAAAAAAGGGATTCAAGAAAGCTGTAGCTTCTTACTAGTACAAAAGCAAACACAAACTATCTGAACAAGGCTTTTATGGTTAATTTTTTTAATTTCTGTGGCTAGCAGATGTAACAGAATTAGAGACTACATCTTTTCAGGCTGCTAATAACCAGGAGAGGAACATAAATATACATGCAGATTTGCATCTTAACAATTTCCCAGCAATTTTACTTGATTATTGAAAAATTCAAAATATGTTTTTCTGCATTTTAAAGGCTTCTTAATCATAGTAATATGAAGATATAAGATCTCACGGTCTGAAAGCCATGCTGGTATCAGCAACTTAGGATGTGTTTCATCATCTTTCACAGGTTCAATACCGGAAGCTGTTGCTGATGATTATGGTGCTAGGAATTGGTGGAACCCACCTATCTGGTTTTCAAATGTCTGTGATCAATTACACTTCTCCGGTAAGCAAAGTCTTCATAAAATCCCATCTGTAACTGCTTTTCATGGGACTAGGCCTTATTCTTTGAAGGTGCTCTAAAAAATTTCTTAGGTGTTGCTGCATGAGTTTATTCCCAGCTCTTTCCAATGCCATACTGTCCACCGTCAAAGGACACAAGGAGTTTGCATGATTGTTAGGAGCTGTGCTCCAAATTCAACTTCCCACAGAATTGTGTGGTAACAACATATTGAAACACCCTCCTTAAAGATTATGCCATGGAGAAAAAAGATTATAAACTAGCAGATCGAATCTCAACCTTCAGTTCAGCGCTTTTCTCTTTGTATCTGCTACCTGCAACAAGAACATTTGCACTTCACTAGAATCAGTAAAAGGTCCCAATATTTTGGTGAAGGAGAGCCAGGATTCAACAGACTAAAGAGTATAACTGATTTTTTAAAGATTCTCTTACACTATTAGGCTGTATGAGAGAAAATATCAATCCTAATTTGCAAATTAGTGTCCCATAGTCATGCTTTTAGTAATGACTATTACTCTATTTTTTTAAAGTTGTAAGCATTATGAAGAACTATTGTGATTAGTGCCTAAGTGGAATGAAAATCTCTTTTTCTGTCCCAGTACATTCAGAAGTTTGTCAACGAAACTTGGCTGGAGCGATACGGTTCTGTGTTGCATCAGGAGACACTCACATTATTGTGGTCCTTTATCGTGTCTATGTACTGTGTGGGTGGAATGACAGGGTGTCTGTGTAGTGGGTACCTGACTGCAAAATATGGAAAGTAAGTATATTTCCCAACAGCTTGCTAATCAGGGCTGCACAATGGAAGCAACTAAATATTACTCACCTAATATAATGGATGTCAGAATTCTCACTGCCCCCTTCTGGTGCAGAATTTACTGTACTCAACATGTATAACTACACCTAGGTATACTAGAGAGACAAGAATATGCAACTATTTCTGATTCCCTTGTCACAGTTTTTGGTGCCATACAATTAATGTATTTTTGCTGATATTTCAGTGAAAAATAAATCTCTGAAATTTCTTTCTTGAGCAATAACGCCGTAGGGAGCCCAACAACATTGCAGTAGTGCAGAAGGGAATAGATATTCTGTAGGCAAAACATTTTCTTTTTTTTTTTTCCTTTTCTTTTTTAATTGATTGCAGCCTTTAAAAAAAATTGTGCAGGTTCATTCCTCTGTGACAATACTGAGTTTCAGCAAAGATAAGCAGAAGTCCTTCAGGCTGCATTCAGAAGCTTCTCTTTGAGGGTGGCCATAAAGGACAAAGCCAGAACTTTCTAGCTTTAGGTGGGTGGTGAAACAAGTTCTTGCCTTGTTCTGGGGACACGTGCAGTGTTTCAGATGGGAGCCTCGCCCACAGGAAAGAAGAAAAAAAGACCATCCCTTATCAGTATTTATCCTGGAGGAATCTCCTTCAGCCTCATGGTGTGCTCACATAGTGTTAGCATGGAAAAGAGGAATGTAGCTTCTCCCATTCCACTCCCCTGCAAAGACATCAATGCCTTTTCATAGTCAGACATGGTTGCCCTATAAGCAATGGATTTAAACATGGCCATGGCTTGGTCTGTAAATCCAGAGGAGAACAGGCAGGCATTAGTCAAAGAGGAAAAAGTAAAACATGGATTATACCCACATGTTGTTTGCTGTTGCAGGAAGAAATGTCTGCTGTTCAACGATGTGGTCCTAATAATAGCCACGCTGCATACTGGCTTCCGCAGGAGAGTCAGCAGGAGAGCCAAATCCTTTGAGATGATCCTGATTGGGCGCTTCCTCGAAGGCATTGGTGCTGGTAGGAGTCCCCACTACTCCATGTTAATGTGACTTCTTTGGGGTGGATACAGAAATCTTCCTGCTGGGAGTACCCGGGCATGCACTGTAACCCCAGTGGAACAAGGAACAGATTGGGAAAAGGTAAGATGAGCTGTCCTTTGCCTTCAAGAGGTCTTGTTGAGAGAGAGATCTGATGGATTAGGTAAATATCTTGCTTAAAGGAAAAGGTACATTTTCAGCCTACATATTGTGGAGGATATACAGCAAACAGTTCAGAAGAGTGAGGAGAGAGTTACCTTTGGCTGAAGGTGAAATGAAAAGGTGAAATGAAAAGGGACTCTCTCTTGCTTTCTATAGCTTTAGCTCTCTTGTGTCTTCTTCACTTTAGGAATACATATGAATGCCCATGTTCAGTATGCTGGAGAGATCTCACCTAAGAAGTTGCGTGGATTTGTAAATGTGACCTCCTCTGTGTTTCTTGCACTAGGAAAAGCTGTAGCAAGAATTCTTGGATTACGGTACTTGTGCTACTCTTTCTCATCCTATTTTCTATTTATTTGTCTTCTGTATGGCAGGAAAGTGTTGTCCTACCAGTCCTAGAAATGGACATATGCTGAGGGTGGGGTTTTACTTTGCTTAACTACAGCTGTCAAAAAGGAAGCTTCTACCCCATACCAGTCACCGAGGTTTCCTTGTCACTCACTGGGGAGAGAAAGGCCTTTCCCTAAGAGAGGATGAATCCACCTCTGGAGGTGCAGTCTCTCTGCTGAAGTTAATAAGAAAAGATTGTATGTAAACATCCTTAGTAAACTTTTGAGATCTGAAATCTCTGCTGATTTCTTGATAATCTCATGCAGAATTTCAGTATTGGTTCAGAGAGCTGCTGTGGGAATATTCAAATTCCATTGCTCTTTAGAAAATATTCAAATTATGAGAAAAATCTCAATCTTGCAGTAGAAGCAAGGTCTTGCTTGGTGTGTTTTCCTTTCCCTGGCCTAAACATCTTCTATTTCAATTTATCTTTTCAAGGTCTGTATGTATATTGTGTCTATTTAGCTAGTCTAGGATCTAGAAAATACCAAACTAGTTATAGACGGTAATTGTACTGGACTATAAATATACTCTAATGTGCTTTCATAGAGATCTTTTAGGAACTGAAGACATGTGGAATGTGCTATTGTCCTTCTCTGGGTTGGTGGCATTGATTCAACTGCTCTTTTTGCCATTCTTTCCTGAGTCCCCTCCCTATCTCTTGCTGCAAAAAGGAGACAAGGCTGGTTGCTTAAAAGGTAAAATAAAACTTTAGATCCTTAATTTGTTAAACCATAACTCTTGGGAAATCAAACCTAATAGAGAGAATTGGCTTTTCTATTAGCCAACTACATATTTCTTGATAACTACATGATTAAAGTCCTCCAGACTATGCAGAGTCATCAGAAATATTTAAGATCTACCCCTAAATACTACACAAGTTGAAAGTGATTTTCCAGGGCAGTCTCAGCATGTTCCTGTAAGCGATGTTTTAGTTCTTTGCTCAGTGACTGACGAATCAAAGCATGGACTGAACTGCAAATGTTTAATGTCATTAAAAGTTGAAAAACACAGAACTGAGCAGATCAGATGATGGAGGAATATGCTTCATTCTGTCTCTTCTGTAGCCATGAAACAACTCTGGGGAGAAGGGAATTATCACACAGAATTTGATGACATGATGAAGGAAAAGGCTGTAACAAAAGGCACCAAAATCATGAATGTCCTAGAGGTGCTGAAAGAACCTTCCGTGTATCCACAGCTGAGTACCATGCTCCTTCTTTTACTGAGTCTACAGCTCTGTGGCCTGAGTGCAGTTGAGTATACCTTATTTCCATGCTTAGATCTACTGTTAAGGAACCGAAGTGCCACAATTCCAACTTGTCACCTTCTTCTTGTCACATTATTCCTCCTCACACACAGCCCACTGCCCGTGAAGATCTGTGGTATCATCACTAGTATTCTTCATACCTTTAAGGCAGCTTCTCAGGTGGGAATACAAGAGTTCCAACTCAGCATAAGTTCCTGCAAGGGCACTGCTGCATTCATTCCCCTGGTGGTATTACCAAAGACTCTGTAGGAGGAAGGGTTATAAATACCCTAAGGCTTGCTACAACCCAGAGCAACCCAGAGATCTATTTATCTAGACTTCCAGCTCCACTTTCTTTGACTTCTGCAGTAGCAGATGGCCGGCTATTGCCATCCAATTTTCATTCCATTTGATAAAGGAGATTTATTCATTAAGTAATTTCCTTTCAGTTGTTTCCACATAAAGATGCCTGAGCCAAATACAGCCCAAGCTAATACTCATTCCCCTGGATGTCATTTTTGTCACTTGCCTCTGAGTGTCTCTCCATAAGCCTTGTTTAAGCCTGTGCACTCTGCTGGAGCTTGTTCATGACAGTTCCCAGCAACGTGAGCACAGGAGGCACCTCTGCACTCTGCTGACAGGGAAATGGTGCCTAGCCCATCAGGGACTTTGCAGATGAGCAGCTTCTGCTTAGCAACTGGAAAAGGGCAACAGAATCAACTGTCTGTATGACAACATATGGTCTGCTAAGACTGAGATTTGCTTTTCTTTTTCTTCACTCCCTTTCTTGTCCCTTTCCTTTTCCTCTTTGCCAAAACATCATCTTTTTCTCATGTCTTACAAGCAGTATGCTCCTTTCAACTCTTTTTTTTTCTTCTTCTTTTTTTTCCCTGGACTTTCAAATCCCTTTTCCTCATCTCCATTAACATTTTGATTTTTCACATCTCAAGCAGGTATGTCACCTCCACTAAGCCCCCATAATGTACTGCTGCTTTTGCAGTGATGACAAATCTAGTTCTAAGTGATGCTGGATAAGCATATATCACATCTATTGACTATGCTTAATTTTCAAAATGTTTCTTATTTCCCAGATCACCTTTTACACCAGAGAAATTTTTCAGACAGCCAACCTGCAGGAAAGCATAATCCCATATGTATCGCTAGGAGTTGCAATCTCTGAACTCATCTCTATCATCTTCTGTGTAAGTCAGACCTTTCTGGGTATTTAAGACTTACAGTACATGTAAGTTGAGTTTGTTCTTCCTTAAAGAAAATTAATCTTCTCCTTATGAACTAAAGAATTTTTCTGTGATACTGCATAGATCTGTGAAGTGGTTCTTACCATCTGCTCCAAATTTTGTTCCACCTTTTACACCTTTCTTCCTATCTTTGTTCTCCATAATTTCTTATAAAAATCCCTCTCTTATTCATACAGATATAAATGAAATGTCATTCAAACATAAATATGTATACTTATTTCCATATACTTGAGTATATCTATATATTCAAATGGAGTTGTAACATGCTTTCATTGATTACAGTGTTTATGAAAAAGTAGCTGCAATGCTGGACAGCGATGTAATTCATAGTATTAGAGAGGTTAGAAGGAATTCAGTAAAATAACAAACTTGGTACCAGTAAGATTTGTGTTGTCTAAAGTAAAAAGAACTCAAGAAGAATGCTTGATTTGTTGGATGGCTGACAGATGGATTTTGCCGTGCTTCCAGTGATATGCAATTTTTTTCTACTCTTCAGAGCTCCATTATTGATCGTTTTGGACGTCGGATACTCCTGTGGGGTGGTTATTTGCTGATGGCACTGATACTGGTGTTGCTTGAAACAAGCCTTCTACTGAGTGTAAGCAAATGTCTCTCTGGGAGCGGACCTGCATCAGAACTCTTTGTGCAGATAGTCAGCCTTAGCTTTCATGTCCAAAACAGCAGGTCAGAATATCTCGTGAATACAAACTTATAGCCCCTCTGCAAGGCTTTTTTTGTCCTGCCTTGTAGTTCATCTTTTTTAATCAGGCTTTCAAACAGTCAGTGAAAAACATTTTGTAAAACCACTGGTCTGGCATAGCTTTCCTCCAACTCTCTGCCTGTCTGACCTCTCCAAACCTCACCTGTGTCTTGTTCTGCTCTCCTTTAAACCCCTAGATGAGCCTCCTTACTGTCACCTTTACCATTTGCTGTCCTTTGCCTCCTGCAGCAGAAGCAGTGTGTACTGACCCTTCCAACAACCACCAATTCCCATCCTCGATACAAGTGATCCAGCTACGTCCAGTTGGGATGGTGGAAAGCAGTGAGGAAACCAGTGTCATGGCTTCAGTATTGCCAGTGTTTAGCACTGCGTTGCAATCTTGGTCTCAGCCAAGATTAATAAACTTTCAGTTTATTTCTGTTTCAGATACCTTCTGATTCACAAGAGATTTAAACATTTCTCTGAAGTTGTCTAATTCATAAGACAATTAGGTTAAATCAGTAACAATTTTCCCCATGCTATAATTTCCTTGGAATTTATTACTTGTTTTTCAGACCAGGGTACAGTTCAGCTCACCTCTGTAGATATGACACTGCAGGCTACTTTTGGCCTTCCACTGTATTCAGTACAGAGAGATAAGTAGTTCTAGTGAGCATCTACTACAGAGCCCAGCATCATGAGCTTTTTCATAAATATTGCTGCTTCTATATGTTTTGATCAGCTATGTTACAGCTATAATATTAAATTTCATTTTCTTCCCTCCTTTTGCCATTGTCTAGGATCAGTTCCACTGGATGCGTTACTGCAGTGTTATTCTCATCTTTTTATTCATCATTGCCTACGGAATAGGACCAGGTGAGTACAACACTAAAAGCAACAACAGGACACCTTGGACCACAGGGATAATCACAGGCCATGGATGTATGGAAAGAGAACTAGACTGTGTGCAAATATCTTCGAAAATCAACAGCTTAGTTTGAACTGAAATTGGGGAAGCCCAAATTTTTGATTAATTAATCAATGTATTAAGACTTGTTTTGGAGGGTATGAATGCTGTCCAATGCATATAGGCTCATCTGGTCCATCTCTGTCTTTGCCTAAGGGCAGAGGTAGCCTCTTCTAAAATATCAGTTTTCTCAACTCACCTGTAAAATCCTACACTATTAAAGAATGATACCTGATAGCACACATAGTCTGTCTCTTAGCATTGCTCTGTCCTTTCTCATCCTCTCTAAATGTCACTCTGTATCACCTACATCAGTAACGCCAGAACCAAACTTACAGCTCTCTATCAGGACCTCACTCACCTAAGACCAATACTTACTATGAAAGTTCCATGACTAAGCACTACTTTTAGTTATTACAGTCTCCAAATTCAAATGGCAGCCTTTATTATCATAAGGGCTGTATATGAGGAACATGAATGTCTTGAAAACCTAACAGAATTCCCACAGTAGCAGAACCCAGGTGTCTCCTATGGACAATGGAGAGAAAAAGACCATTAGGGCCATTTATCTCCATCTTTTATACATCTTAGGTGAATAGCAACCGCACTTCAGGGCTGTCCATCTCTCTCCATGGACCATAAGAGAAGTCTGTAGGGGAATTTAGATAAAGATGGCTGTGCTGCCCAAATTTAAATGATCTCACAGTAGCCTGACTTACTGGGGCTGTGTTTAACCAGTGACAGCAGTTCACTCACATTGAGGAATATGGTTAACTACAACAATGTTTTTATTGCTTTTTTAATGGTTTTTCCTCAGCTGGAGCTGTCTCATCTGTCATGAATGAAATCTTCACACTCTCAACAAGGTCCTCTGCTTTTGTAATTGGTGGAATCGTCATTTGGCTAGGACTCACTTTCACTGGAATGATTTTCCCCTTTGCTGTTGTATGTAATTTGATTCAAATCTTCTTTTTGACTCTTTCAGTTTAAACTGTTTTTCTAGGGTGGTCTGGACAAGGAGTAGATTGAAATGTCTTGTAGATGATCAAAGCTCTGAATCCCTTATTACTACAGGTATATGGAGGCCATTTATGTAAAACACTTCCCTAGACTTCATACATCCTCTGCTGCCTCATATTGAAAATATAAATAAACATTCCTTCTGTAAAGTCAATTTATTTATCATTACACAGGGTAAAATCAATAATTTTCAAGAATCTATAGCAGCAAGTGTTGCCAGGGAAATCACTCATCTTTTTCTATTTTTCTCTCCAGATGCTTCTTGGTCCTTTTTGCTTCCTCATCTTTATTGCTGTCCTGGTCATTTCAGCAGTTCTCATCTATCTGTTCCTCCCAGAAACAAAAGGGAAGTCAACCTCCGAAATCACAGAAGAATTCAAAACACACCAATTTAAGAAGAAACGTCATCAGACTGTGGAGAAGAATGCTACTGAAGAAAAGACATTCTGCACCAAGCTCTGATAGGCCACCATAAGCAACTTCCACTGACAAAAAGCCTTGTCTCAAAATCAAACTGAAAGCTAAACCTTAACATGGACTTTTCTCAATAAAATGTAATCCAAAAAGTAATCCACAGATAGCTTGTCATTAATCCAAGCAGTCCTATTTTACATTCATGTTTGCTTTTCATGGTGAGAGACAGTGGCTCCTTCCTAGAACAGCTCTGTAGCAGGAAGACATTAGTAACTATAGACACTTCTCAGAACTGGCACGTGGGAAACATTTTCAGGCATAACACATCAATTTTATTTCAAGTCTTTCTCCTTTGCTATCATTTTAAAGAAGCAGAATTTTTCTCTATGTTTGTTACTTTGTAAGAAACCTCTGCTCAGGATTAAGGGCAAGGTGAAGAGAGGATAAAACATAAACATAGTTCTTGCAAACAATTTTCATGTCATCTCTTTATGATGTCACATTGTAAAGGATCTACTATTGATCATGAACACTGTGCATGAACAAATACCAGGTAGAATAACAAAGACAACTCAATTTGTTCTGTTTTCTTGAGTTGACATCAAGTAACTATGTCCTGACCATCTCTATAATGATTGTCAGGGATCAGCCCTGATCCCTGGGCAATTGGTACAGAACTGTCACCTGCATCCCCTGGAGCAAAGTGACTGCACCCACCATGCGTATGAGTTGCAGCAAAATCTGGAGCAAGTTTTTGTAGTGTAAGCAACACTCTCAGCCTTATTCTTGGTACCTCATGGATGGCACAAGGGTTAACAAACACACAGGCAGTGCTGAGAGCTAGAGAACCACAGCCCTGGAGTGAGACAGGGAGTAAGACACTTTGAGAGAGTACTGAGAGAGTAGACACTTTGAAAATTCAGATCATTTTATAAATAATTAACTGCTCAAAAGAAAAAAAAAAAAAGCAGAAGCTGTGATAGCAAATGTCTGGTAGCTGTGTACTGGCCTAGGACACATTGCACTTTACTAGCACACATCAGCACACAATACTACACTTTACTACTGCTGTGCTCCACAGCACCCATGTACTGCTGCTGTTCAAGGGCTGTTAATCCTGCTGGCCATTGCAGCATTTCATCACTTCCCCCCCCAACTCTTCTACCTTTGTATAGAACGATCAATGATTTTTCCATTTTCTGTCACAGTTACAAATGGCATACCATGCCTCCGTTCAGTAGGACCCTAAGTCCTATCTTTCTGCAGTTCAACCATTCACATTGATTACCATTGTGCTGAAGCACTAAATCTGTGGTGAGTTTTAGGGAATTTTCTATTTAGATATTTCAAATAATGTGCTTGGTACTTTTAAAGAAATAGCCTCAGAAGACGCTATGATATTAAAGCACCAGTGTGTGCTCCAGCAACTGAAACCTGGGTTAGATTTTATATTCGATCTGTTTTCACTCCCTGTATTAAAATAGGGAGCACTCTTGCTACAGAACGTTCCCATTCAGAGGGACCACTCCTGTTGAGTCATTGAAATATTTAATCCATCAGTTCTAAGCGCTGTCCAATTGCTGCAAAAAACATCAGTCAACAGAAATCAACCAAAGGAAACATTAACCTTGGTCTCAGTGTCAGATGATTACTTAAGCAGAACGTGCAGAAAAGGCATGACAGAAAACACTTCCTCAATCTAAGAGAGTTCTGTCTGCCTGGGATCAGCCACCCTTTTGATATAAAATGGAAAAGCTCTTTCAGAAGTGGTGAGTACTACAGCTGGCAGTATCAGCTGGTAATAGTAAGCTTTCAGAAGAACTAAGAGGTCATCTGTTGCAATTACCATTCCTAAAGAAAATTCAATTCACATGTACCAAACTATTTTCAAAATAATAGGGTGGACAGTGGATAATCCTTCTAATTTTGTTACTGTAAAAATTAGAGCTAACTTTTAAAACATGATTTAAAATTTTAAAAAAAGTTCCGGCTGAGTAGAGAAACTAAGTTCTTTTAAAAAAGTTTTAAAGTCCTCTAGTAGTTAAATGATGACGCATTTCCATACTGTTTTTTCCTGCTCCCATACCTTCCCATGCACAACTGTGATACTATTAAGCTTTCCTAGCTAGTAGTCTGATAGTGATATGAAATTGTGCATTTGAAAATAAAGTTTTTGTGGATTGGTTAATTAATTAATGAGAAGAAGAGTAACAAAACTGATAATCCAGAACCTTTTTCTGGCTCATCTTTTATTTGCATTGATTCTTTGCATGTTCTGCTAAGATTATTTAAGCATCACCAAACCAGATAATATCCTAGAAATGCAGGGACTATGATATCACCAATTTCTTTTGTGATGAGCTTGTATTAATTATTCCTTGCAGGCTCAGTACCAGTGGTTGTTTGTAATTCTCTTTGTGTTGTGAGTTGGTGGATCCCTCAGAACTGGCTTTCAAATCTCTGTGAACAACTACTCAGCCATGGTAAGAAAAGTTTAAGCAGATACAGCATCTTCAGGAGTCATTGGTAGTGGGGTCAAAATCTAAAGGGTGTTTCCCAAAAAAAGTTGCAAATTGTTTCCGTTGACTTCTCTGCAGAAGGAAAGAGTAAGAGCCTAGACTATAGATGCCTTGGAGTGGGCATGCCCAGATAACAAACACATTAGTCTTTCTACTTAACAGATATTAACATGGGCAGTCAAAATTTTCAAAAGATATCATGTAAGGTAATTTTAAATGAGGTAATTTGGGCACCATAAACACCTAACTGAAACAGCAGATAACAGCCTACTAGGACCTATCTCATCTTGTCAGAAAACTGCATAAATTTCCTCATCAATTTACTACAAATTCTTTCCAACATATCTGTCTGGATACAGTGTGTCTGTAATTTTACGTGAAACTACACATGCATACAAACACAAAGCCCTTTAATGAATCAATATACTGTGTTATCAGCACAAAGAGCTGTCAGTGATTGTGACCACAGTTTCTCTGTTCAGGTTCAGGGCAGGCACTTACAAGATGCTGTAGCAAG